TGGCCAAGGGATACTCACAAATAGAAGGAATAGATTACCATGAGATATATTCACCAGTAGTGAAGCATGTCTCGATCAGAATTCTTCTTGCTATTTGTGTGTTTCAGAATCTGGAATTACAACAACTTGACGTGAAAACGACATTTCTACATGGGGACTTAGAAGAGGAGATTCATATGCAGCAACCTGAAGGTTTTAGCGTCAAAGGCAAAGAGGGAAAAGTCTGTTTCTTGAAGAAATCATTATATGGTCTAAATCAGTCTCCACGGCAATGGAATATCAAGTTCGATACATTCATGATAGAACAAGGATTTCAGCGGAGCAAATTCGATCAATGCGTCTACTTCAAGAAAAATCAGAAAGGATCATTCATATATTTGCTTATATATGTCGATGATATGCTGGTAGAGTCGGAGGACAGATCAGAGATACAAAGGCTGAAGAATCTGCTAAACACACAGTTTGAGATGAAAGACTTGAGAGATGCTCGACGGATTTTAGGTATGGATATTAGTCGGGACAGACATAAGGGGATTCTAACATTGTCACAGGCAGAGTATTTGCATCAGGTGTTAAATACGTTTGGTATGTCAGATGCAAAGACAGTAAATACAGCTATGGGCTCTCACTTTAAGCTCAAAAGCGTGGAACATAACGAGGAGGCTTTGAACTTGGACTCTACACCGTACTTGAATGCAGTCGGAAGTCTTATGTACGCCATGATCGGGACACGTCCAGATTTAGCTTACAGCGTCGGATTAGTCAGCCGATTTATGAGCAAACCTGGAAATGAGCACTGGTTGGCGGTTAAATGGATTATGCGGTACATAAAAGGAAGTTTGGGCCTGAGGTTGAAATATACTCGTGAAAATAAATTCCTGGTTGAAGGTTATTGTGATGCAGATTACGCTACAGATTTGGACAAACGTCGTTCAGTCACTGGCTATGTCTTCACCATCGGAGGGAACGTCATCAGCTGGAGATCGGGACTTCAACACATTGTTGCCTTATCAACGACTGAATCAGAATATATGGCATTAGCAGAAGCATTCAAAGAAGCCTTATGGTTAAAGGGCTTGGTAAATGAATTGGGAATTCAGCAAGATTCAGTTGACATACATTGCGATTCGCAAAGTGCGATATGTTTAGCTAAGAATAATGTGCATCATGAACGCACAAAGCACATCGACGTTCGACTACACTTCCTACGAGACGTCGTGATAGAAAACAAGGTGAGAGTGCTGAAGGTCCGGACAGAGGACAATCTGGCAGACATGTTGACGAAAGCACTGCCTGTAGGTAAGTTCAGACACTTACTGAACTTGCTGAAAATCACCAGTACTTAAGTGAAATAAAACGAGAGAGATCAATAGGCAATCCACACAAGGTTCGATTAGTTCTGCAGGCCCCAAGGTGGAGTTTGTTGTGAATTGGTGCCTCAGAACAAATTGGGTCTCGAAAAGTTGTAGAAACCCATTTGGTCTGATTTGGTTATTGAAGATGTCAATCCCAGATTTGAGAAATAGAAGCCTGGTTAATCAGGAAACCGGTTCGGAGTAAAATGAGGAAGTTTTGGGTTGAAGGGTAATATAGGGATTTCAGTTTCTCAGATTGTTATGAAGGTTTGGGTCTTTTAACTGAGTTTCGAGAATCTTCAATGGCAGTACTTCACTTTTCATTGTTCTCCTGTAAAAGCTCTGAGAAAGCTCGCTGGTTCTTGTGTGCGATGCTTCTCAAGTTTCTGTAAACACGAATCATAGTGGATTGTCGAGACTCTCTCGGCCGAGACGTAGGATCACACTGATCCGAACTCGTAAAATTCTTGTGTGTTCGTGTTTGTTTCTTTCTCGTTTTCTCAAATAGAAGCTGATCGAATCAGTAGGTGCTGGAGTCACAGATGCTCAAGAGATCTTCAATCTTTAATGGAGTCTCCTCCTTCTTTCTCCTCTAAGAGCTCTCCTTTTCTCTTCTAACTTTTTCGGCCCCTTTCAAGTCTGTGAGTTTTTGGTCTCTTTCCTCCTCTAAAACTAGGGAAATTTTCTCAAAATGGCGTAGCTTTGACGAAGTCTGCACTACAGTCCGAAGGAACTAGTTCCTACTCCATCGGGTCCAGCAACTTCGGTCCGAACGGACTATGTCTTGGTTTATCTGGTCCAGTGGGTTCAGTTCGCACGGGCTGCTTTCTGGTCCGTTGGGTCCAACGGGTTCAGTCCGGACGAGTTGCTTTTTGGTCCATCGGGCCCAACAGGTTCAGTCCGGACGGACTGCTTCCTGGTCCGTCGGGTTTGTGTTCTGTCTGGAAAATTTTGCTCATGACTTCTCCATTTCGTCTCGAAGTCCATCGGTATCTCCTCGAGTTCCTGAAATGGTCACAACCCAGTCCCAAGGACTTAGAGATGACTCTAATATACCTAAGAATATGTAAAAAACCGTGTGAAATTGTGACACCCGAAATCCGTACCCCGCAATACGAGTGCGTCACATGAACAACTAAAATAAAAACACAATTCCAAAAATCCGCGGAAATTTAAAATTTTTCTTTTCAGAGTTAGCGGAAGGAAAAACATTCATTCATACATATATGATACATTATTCCAGCATGGACGGTCCAGACTTCGTCTTCAACCTCTGGACTTCGCGTTTTCTCCCCCACCCATAGACCAGACGGTCTGACCTCAGACCAGACGTTCTAGTCCTCGGATTTCATCAAAAACACTCAAACATGCATGATTCACTATGGGTAATACATTAAAATTCATAAAATCTCATATTGAGCACGAATCAAGCATCAATTTCGCACAAAACGCACAAAAACCCAAACCCAATGTCAACCGACTTCCGAATTAAACTTGAATTCACTCACCTCGGGTTAACCTCGTGCGTTGGGTGATGAATGGGAAGCTTGGTGATGCTCCTCTTACTCTGTGGAAACCAATTTGAGGCATTAAATTCTCGGATTTAGGATGAAATTTTTCGGATTTGCAGAGAGGGTGAGTGTTAGAGAGATGATGAAGAACTGAATGAGGAGAGGGGTTAAGAAGGCTCGGATTCGACAAATATGGATAGAGTTTGGCCCAGGAGTTGAAAAATCCGGATTTTAGTCGAAGATTGGTGGGTATCGGTCGCTTTTAGGTTAGATCCGGACGAAAATCTCGCAACATTGCTGCCGACAGTTCGGTCCGTCCGTTCTGGACTGCCTGGTCCATCCGTTCTGGACCTTCCTGTCTGGTCGTGTCCGTTCAGTCTGGGATCTCTGGACCGGACGGTCCAAAGATTTTTTTTTTTGAAAACTAGGTTGTTACAATCTACCCCCTTAAAGTGAATTCGTCCTCGAATTCGAACGAATTTAAGTTGAAAGTGACGTACCAAATAGATGGGGGTAATGCCGCGCATCTCCTTCTCCGGTTCTTAAGTCATGTCGGAGATTCCTTGGCTCCGCCATAAGACTTTGACTAAGGGGATCTCCTTATACCGTAGTCGCTTAGTCTTATGGTCGATGATCTGCAACGGCTCATCACGAAAGTGAGCGTTGAGGGTAACCTCAATCTCTTGCGGTCGTAAAATATGGGATGGATCTGTCACGTATTTCCGTAACATGGACACGTGGAATACATCATGTATATTGCCGAGATCCGCCGATAACTCCACTCGATACACCACTGCTCCCAGCTTTCCAAATAATGGATACGGTCCAATATAACAAGGCTTGAGCTTCCCCATTTTTCCGAACCTTGCATGTCCTCGAATCGCCTGTACTCGAAGGAATACTTGATCGCCCACTTCTAGTTGGAAATCCCACCTCCTTTTATCTGCATAAGACTTCTGACGATTTTGTGCGACTTTCAGGTTAACTTTGATATTTCTGATAACCTCAGTTGTCTCCTCCACAATTTTAGGCCCAAAATTTCGTCGTTCTCCAATTTCTGTCCAACAAAGTGGTGTCTTACAAGGCTGCCCATACATTGCCTCATAAGGTGGCATACCGATACTAGCATGAAAACTATTGTTGTACGCAAATTCGCACAACATCAGGTGTCGGTCCCACGGAATTCCTCAATCCAGTATACACGCTCTCAACATATCTTCGAACATTTGGATAGTCTGTTCCGACTGTTCATCCGTCTGTGGGTGATATGCCGTACTCATCTTCAACTTCGTTCCCAATGCATCCTGTATAGCATTCCACAGTCTTGAAATAAATCGAGGATCTCTGTCAGAGATAATCTCACTCGGCACTCCATGTAATCGAACGATCTCATCCATATAGATCTGTGCCAATCTCTCCACTGTTTACTCTTGTCGGATCGGTATGAAATGTGCCGATTTGGTTAATCGGTGCACAACCACCCAAATTGCATTCTTCTTCGTCGGAGTGGTTGGCAATCCAACTACAAAATCCATTGTTATAGAGTCCCATTTCCACTCCGGAATCTCTAATGGTTGCAGCTTTCCTCCAGGCATTTGTCGTTCAGCCTTCACTTGCTGACACGTCAGACATCGCGCAACAAAATCTGTGACGTCCTTCTTGATGTCGGGCCACGTATACCACTGTCGTAAGCCTCGATACATCTTGCTAGCTCCTGGATGAATCGCTAATTTGAATTGATGAGCTTCTTGCAAGATTTTTTTTCTCAGCTCACCGTTATCCGGTACACAAAGCCAGTTATGCAGTCTCAATGCCTGTGCGTCATCCAACTGATACCCTTTTTCACGATATCGCTCAATCCCCTGTATGTACTTCACGAGTTCTGGCTCACTGCGCTGGTCTGAAATTACTCGTGTTCTCATATCAGGAAGCGGTTCATCCTCTGCAATCGTCAAATGACCCAATATAGCCGACAACTCTGCTATATTCTCCTGTGATGAGGACAATACTTTGATAGCGAACAATATCTGCTTCCGACTCAATGCATTAGCTAAGACATTTGCTTTACCCGGATGGTAAGCAATTTCCAAGTCATAATCGGCCATCAGTTCTAGTCATCGTCTTTGTCGGAGGTTCAATATTTCTGCGATATGACATGGGTTAAACTCTTATGATCGGTGTTGAGTTTAACCTTCTCGCTGTAAAGATAAGATCTCCAAATTTTCAGAGCGTTGATTATCGCGGCTAGCTCCAGATCATGAGTCGGGTAGTTCTCCTTGTGTCTTTTCAACTGTCTGGATGCATATGCTATCACGTGTCATTCTTGCATTAAAACACAACCTAATCCTTGCCTTGACGCATCTGTATACACGTCATACGGAATACCTGGACGCGGTAACACCAAAATAGGTGCAGTCGTCAACCTCTTCTTGAGTTCCATGAAACTCATCTCACAATCCTCTGTCCATTCGAAGTGTACATTCTTTCCCATCAGTTTCGTCATCGTCTTTGCCAGTTTAGCGAACCCCTCAATGAAACGACGGTAATAGCCTGCTAAACCCAAGAAACTTTGAATTTCAGTCGCATTGGTGGGCGTCTTCCAATCCATTACTGCATCGATCTTTGCCGGATCAACCTGGATACCTTGTGCTGAAACGACGTGACCAAGGAATCCGATTTCTTGCAACCAAAAACCACACTTGCTGAATTTAACGTGTAACTGATTATCTCGCAATCGCCATAAGATCTTTCGCAAGTGTTCTTTATGAGTATGCTGGTCCGGTGAATATATCAAGAGATCGTGATGAAGATTATGACAAATTCGTCAAGATACTCCATGAACACGCGGTGCATTAATTGCATGAAGACCGTTGGAGCATTCGTCAACCCATATGGCATGACTACAAACTCGACCGTATCGCGTTCGAAAGGTAGTCTTCTGAATATCCCCAGCCTTTACTCGGATCTGATAATACCCAGAACGTAAGTCGATCTTGAAAAACCACTTCGCTCCTTGCAACTGGTCAAGCAACTCATCAATTCTCGGCAAGGGGTATCGATTCTTGATGGTCACTTGGTTAAGACCTCGGTAGTCAATGCAGAGTCGCATACTACCATCCTTCTTCTTCACATATAACACCGGCACTCCCCATGGTGATACACTTGGTCGGATAAATCCTGTCTCCATTAGTTCGTTGAACTGCTTTTTCAATTTTGCCATCTCAGTCGGAGCCATCCGATAAGGAGTCTTAGTTATTGGCTCCGTTCCTGGCACAACCTCAATGGAGAAATCTACCTCCCGTTCTGGTGGTAGTCCGGGTAGTTCATCAGGAAACACATCGGGAAATTCCTGAACTACAGTAGTGTCTTCCAACTTTGCTTCTGCTTCTTCGGTTGCTGTGATTACAACCAGGAAGGTTTCATTCCCTTTCTCGATCATCCTGTTAGCCTTCAGAGCTGATATAATTGGATACACTTTTCGTGACCGGTTTCCAATGAACTCAAATCCTCCGCTCTCTTCAGTGAACCAAATAGTTCGTTGGCGGCAGTCAATCCGGGCTTGATGCTTCGACAACCAATCCATTCCCAATATTAAGTCGTAACCCTGCATAGGTACGACAATAAGATCTGCAGTCAACATCCTCCCACAGATAGTCAAGGGCATGCAATGCAAAATACCCTGTACTGGAAGAGTCTGTCCTGCAGGTGTACACATCATAAAATGTGTAGTCGTATTGATCTCCATGATTGACAACTCTCTTATCTACACTCCTGTGTCAAACAAAGTGGCGCATGCAACATCATGTATGCTAATGGTACCTGTGATAGCGGCAACGTCAGCCTCCTCCATATAATCTTCATCAGTGGCCTCGTAGGTGGTCAACGGCTCTGCAGCAAATGGCTCCTCCACTGTGTATGGCTCCTCCTGGGCATCTTCCTCAGCTGTGAGAGCATAAACTCTCGGAGCCATACCCGATCTCTTCTGTGTTGGGCGCGGTGGCTTGTTGTTGGCTTGAGGAGCTATGTTCGCGGTGCATCTAGCAGCAAAATGTCCCGATTGACCGCAACGGTAGTAGGTCATGGTGTTTTTGCAAGGTCTAGTATGGTCTCGACCACACTTAACACATGGCCTCCTATACTGTAGTGGTTGGGTCGAGGTCGTGGGGCGAAACGCTGGAGCCTTTCCCTTGGCGCGGGGTTGACTCGTCTGCCCAATCCTCACCGGGGGACGGTTAATCGACACTCTCTTGTATGAACCACGGTCTTGTATCTTGGTGTCCATCTTCTTCTTCTCACTCCGTTCCACCTTGTCAAGTTGGTTGATGTACCGACTCAACGTAGGGTACTCATGGCACTCGATTCTCCTCTTGAGAGAAGGACGTAACACAACAATGAATTTCTGGATCTTGTACTCCTCGGTTGGCACTAGGTGACCTCCATACTTTAACAACCGGTTGAATTCCGCTTGTGCTCTCGAACAGTCAGGTTACCCTATTCAAGGCGAAGGAATTCCACAACACGGTGGCCCTGATCTTGCCTCCGATAGTACTTCTGCTCGAACTCTGTTCGAAACTCTTCCCACGAGAATTGGTGTCCTGCGGGAGCCTCGCGTACGACTTCCTCGCACCAGTGGCGAGTAGCGCCAGCCAGATGATGGCTCGCTAACTCAGTACGGTACTCCAGCGGGCACCAGATGTAGTTGAAATGATGGGTGATCTTGATGATCCAGTCTTCTGCTGCCTCCGGGCTAAGAGAACCCTCAAACTCCGGAGTGCCCAAGGCTCGGAGTTCCTTGACGAATGGCAAGTAGTCCACTACAACTTGCTCTGGAACCCTCAGAGGTGCAGGCATCGGTGGTGGTGTCAAACCTCCCTCTGGCCTTACCGCAAATGGAGCAGCAGGCGGGGGCGGTGGCGTTGGCATGCAACCTCGCACAAATTGCAAGATATTCCCTTGGAACAATGTGAACTGACGTCGCATTTCCTCCATGTCATTATTCGGCGGAGGTGCCCTCGATCCTTCAGGTCGTTGCGTAGGTGCAACACGTCGTGGAGGCATAACTACTGCGGACAAGAAACTTTATTTAGTATCGGGACCTGGTGATCATGCTTAGATTTTATAAAATCTTTAAAAATCATTTTTACCCATTCCCAAATACCAGTGAAAATATGAGCACATTGTTTCCCCTTGGAAGGAACTGCTCTGATACCAAAATTGTGACAACCGAAACCCGTACCCCGCAATACGAGTTGCGTCACATGGACAACTAAAATAAAAACACAATTCCAAAAATCCGCAGAAATTTTAAATTTTTCTTTTCAGAGTTAGCGGAAGGAAAAACATTCATTCATACATATATGATACATTATTCTAGAGATAATTATACATAACGAGTGGTAGCGAATTCATTATTACAAACCTTAAAAGTCTACCACCTATATAATATAAAACCGTTTTCCCAAAAGCATAAGCGTATCATAAATACATAATTATACATGATCAGCCGATAGGTCACCCTGGTTTCCGATGTCCGCTCCGCGATTACTGCTGCTCACGACCTGAAACATTACGTAACAACGTCCTAAGCTACTTGCTTAGAGAGTGAACTCGGGCGTAACCCGGAGTTCTATTCTCATGGAATCAGGAAAAACAACACACACACACACACACATATATATATACACACACTAATACTCTAATAAACAGAAATGGAAACATGGAATCACGATAATCATGTCAGCAATCACAATCAAGTCCATACGACAAGTCGTAGGACATAGTCCGTCAAATCGTCTCTACACGAACCATGCGTAGGTAATATACTCTCCATGTGTATAGCACAACCACCTCTCTCATCGGAATCCATCTATCTACTCCGCAATCACTCGGACCCTGCATAAATATATTTTTCTCCACCCGAACACATCACCCTACCCTAGCATCGATGTCACCTCTCGATACTAGGCGTGTCACCTCGCTCCGATATTGATGTCACCTCTCAATACTGGAGTTCACCAGACGTCGGCTACAACCGACGCCATCGACTATAACGGGAGAGCCAATCGCTGCAACTCCCCCTCGTCGACCATCCACCGCGGAAATACTTGTCAGGTTCGTGCCCAAACCTGGCAGAGTAAGTCCGTACCACCTCCTCGGGAGACCCCAATCTACCCGAATCTCAAGTATGTGTAATTCTTCATCCTCAGGATAATCATATCCTGGAATCCGCTCCGTCGCTAGCGAAAACGTTCGCGCGGTTACCAAGAAGCGTATTTTCCTCGTCACGCAATAGTACCGAATACAATCGGCTATCTACGCAAGTCATGGGGGTGCCCACCGTCCTATCGTTCGGACGTTGGCGCGATTATGTCATCGCCACATTGACAATCATATCCCATATGGGTAACATCCGACCCGGATCGGATGACCCATGGATGGGACACAATCTCGCAATCATCGTGCAATCAATCACAAACATCCGTTTCTACAATCACGCGCTAAACATTAATCCGACCCTTTCGAATTAACGTTAACGTCATGCCAACTACCCCAGTCACACGCATTTATATAGTTTATTTACTATACATGCATTTCCGCTTGAGTAATCTTTTAAATTCATTTGTATATATTTTCTTTGAGCCTTTCCAGTTAAATTACCGAATTGTACCTCCAGTTTGACCTATCTGGTCCCGGTACATCCGGATAACCAGTTCGGTTCATTCCGTGGTTTTTAGGCTTACCTATTATCCATTTTGGGTTCAAACTACGTGGGGTCCTGTCTGACCCGTATTTTCGGTTTATTTTTCATTTTTCACTTTTTCACTATATTGAGTCGGGTTGATATTAAGCCCACCTAGTTTAGTTTTTTCCTTTCTCGCTAAATTTATTTTCAGCGTTCCGTTACTCTTTTTTTTTTGTCCAGACCGATCGGTGTAGTCGGTTCAGACTGGACGGTCCGCGTGCTACAGACTGGACGGTCCAATGTATCCAGAACGGACGGTCTAGACTGTCCAGAACGGACGGTCCAGACTTCGTCTTCAACCTCTGGACTTCGCGTTTCTCCCGCAGCCCTAGACGGTCTGACCTCAGACCAGACGTTCTAGCCCTCAGATTTCATCAAAAACATTCAAACATGCACGATTCACTATGGGTAATACACTAAAACTCATAAAATCTCATGTTGAGCACGAATAAACATCAATTTCGCATAAAACGCACAAAAACCCAAATCCCATGTCAACAGACTTCCGAATTAAACTCGAATTCACTCACCTCGGGTTAACCTCGTGCATTGGGTGATGAATGAGAAGCTTGGTGATGCTCCTCTTACTATGTGGAAACCAATTTGAGGCGTTAAATTATCGGATTTAGGATGAAATTTTTCGGATTTGCAGAGAGGGTTGAATGTTAGAGAGATGATGAAGAACTGGAGGGGGAGAGGGGTTAAGAAGGCTCGGATTCGACAAATATGGATAGAGTTGGGGCCCAGGGGTTGAAAAATCCGGATTTTGGTCGAAGATCGGTGGGTATCGGTCGTTTTCAGGTCGGATCCGGACGAAAATCTCGCAACATTGCTGCCGACGGTCCGATCCGTTCCGGACTGTCTGGTCTGTCCGTTCCGGACCTTCCTATCTGGTCGTGGTCCGTCTGGTCTGGGATCTTTGGATCGGACGGTCCAGAGATCTGTTTTTTTGAAAACTGGGTTGTTACAGAAATCAAATGCATTAATCCGTATAAAATCAAAGCCATCAACAATTTCGTTTCTTCTGTCAAATCCGAACGAACCCAAAATTTTCGAAATTTAACTATCACCACTCTAACATTAGTCTATATGACTGCAACAAATATAAATTTTTTAAAATAATGTAAAATGAGTTTTTAAGAATTAACATTGATCTCTAATATTTTAATGTTTTTTTTAAATCTACGATATCATGCCTGTAAGGTTTGTCAAATACGAAGGAATTTAATATTTTTGCTTACTCAGATGAAAAGAAATTGGACGAAATTTCCGTGCCTTAAAAAAAGTAACGTACTGTATATTTTTCTTTACATTATTTGTTAAATTATTTTCTATTGGAGCAGAGAAATGTTATAAAATAAAATGTAATTATGAATGTAATAAAATATTTTTTCTTGACGTACATAATTCGGTTACATATTTCTGTACACTCAATGTCATATATATACACACACACATACACGTATTTATATCAGTGTATCCATGTAAAAAAATATTTAATGCCGCGGGAATCACAGAGTATACGAACTTCAGTCATAAACATTTCCTTAAATATGTAAGTACTTCATAGAAAATTTAAAATCATTAATATATTTATCAATGAGTTAGTTAGTCTGCTTCGGCAACATCTGACTTTCCAAAGAAAGACTGACGACTACTTGATTGGGTAACTATCTCACTATACATATTGTATCCGATGGACAATGAAAATTATAATTTTAAAATTTTGAATTTCATAGAAATTAAAATCGTAATTTATTAAAATAAGGAGAAAAAAATTATATTCATATATCAAAATCATATATATATATATATATATATACAAAATAATACATCAACTTTATGAAATATACCAAAAAAATATTTAAAATTTTAATCTAACTAATTAAATGTTAAAATATTATAAATTTATACTTTAAATGTTAAAATATTTCAAATCAATAACTCAACTCAGAAAATCGAGAATAATTTACAATCTCGATTTGTTTTTATATTAAAAATTAGTATCTAATTTATATACCATCATAAAAATTAAGATTAAAATTGCCATCAATTTCGTCGGTTAAAATATCCATTTGGAAGAAATTTTACATATTTATTTTTCGTAAATTGGATACGTAATATGAAATTTTATCTAAAATTAATAACAAGTCCATCGTATTATGATGATTAATAAAAATAAACGGAATTCGGAAAGCGTTTTAATGTGGTTTTTCTAATGTGATGCACTAATCGAATAGTTGGAAGATGATTTGACATTTCTTTATTTCTGTCACATCGTGACCATATCTTAAAACCTAACCCATATTAGATCTTTAATTAGAATTTATTAGGACATAAAGAATACAAAAGAAGAAGAAGAAGACAGCAATATTATATATATATATATATATATAATCACACGCGTAGGTAAGGACTATATATTAAAGGTTGACATATAATATCCAATTTGTTTTTTTTTTTAAAATAAAAACTGAATTTTCTTATAAAAACACTGCACCAAATTTTCAAATTTATGAGGAAAAGGGCTCAGATACAAATAATGCAATTGAAATATTTGTTTGGCTTCGTTTATATATATATATATACACACACTATTTGGGATCGTAGCTCTCATATTTGTGTGATATTTTTAAGTTGAACAGTAATACTGAGATTTGAAATTGAATATTAGGATACGATTTTATTGTTTTAGTTTATTTTTTTTAATTCTTAGTTTGAATTATATTGTTCCCATTTATTTGAATTTGAATTTTAAGTCGATGTATGGTATTTCGTATATTATTATCACAATTTTGATACCAAATCTCTCGTGTTTGTGTATTTAGCTGGGGTATGCCGAAATGGGATTAAAGAATTAATTAAAGAAATCTGAAAAGTTTAATTTTATCATTTTTATTTTCCTTTTTGTTAAACAATTTAATCAGTTTTTCTCCTCTCTATGCTATTTATTTGAGTTTACGTCTGACTGTTCGTTGCATTGAAAATCTGTTTCACATAGGAATAAAAGGACGACGCTGTCGAGAAGAAGAAATAAAATTTAAATCAAGCTCCAACTAAACATTAATTTATTTTCTTGGTTGAGGACCGTTACTTGGCATTTATACAATAATACCGTATATAAATTTATTTTGATTTAGATATTTGATCGAAGCAACGGAATAATGAAATAAAGGGTTATTCAAATTCACTTTTTTTTTTATAAATTAGAGATGTATATTTTTTTATAATCTACAAATTCACCATACTTTCGACTCAACTATATCTATCAGATAATCAGAAAAATATAGGTGAATATCTTTCCACAAATAGATATTATATTTTGGTGTATATTTCAATTTATTAGAATATGATAGAATAATATAAACTAGTTGAATATATTTTTAAACAAATTAGAATATGAAATAATCGATTAATAGAAAAGTTTTTTAAACTAATATTTTCAACAGAAAAGAAATTTGAATAGAATCAAAATAGAATTTGATAGAAATGGTGATCGAATATATATATATATATATATATATGGAAAAGTAATGCATTCATAAACCAATGAATCAATACAAAGTCAAAATGTCATATCACGGATCATCCTAGAGCATTACAACCAACAGGCGGGACACCACTTCACACGGGAGGAGTTTCGACATGAATTCGAGGTGAAGTAATGCCGGCGCCAAGACCACGAGTACCGCATGACCGAGTTCCTCTAGTTGCAGCGGGGGCCATGACCGTTAGCGAGTACGAAACGGAGTTCACCCATCTACTGATGTACGGGGGGCATCTGGTGTCCACTGAGACATCGAAGATTCAGAAGTTCATTGCTGGACTCCGACCCTATCTGCAGAGGAAGATCGAGATCCAGGAGTACCCGACGATGAGTCGGTATATCTCTCAGCTGGAGAAGGTGGAGCATGGAAAGCGGGAGAAGAAGGAGCCCATTTAGGAAGTTCTTTGGTACGTGCTCATCTGGGAAGAACGTCCGGAGCAGCGACCAACGTGACAAGGGCAAGGCGCCCGCTGTTCATGCGCCACCACTGTCGGCGGCGAGGGAACCACTGATCTGTTATCGTTGCGACCAGCCCGGACATATTGCATCATGATGCCTGACGAGGGCCACTAGACCATCGGCTCTGGCGGCAAGACCACCGCGACTACCAGGCCAGACGGACAGACCACCCCGATCGTCGGCGAGGGCTGGAGTAGCCCTGAGAATGTATGCTCTTGGTGTCGAGCAGAGATCCAGGAGGAGGAGAAGGCTCACCATGATGGAGCCGAGGCTGCTGCGATCGTAGGTACTCTGATGAGGACATCGACCAAGACATGGACAATGACGAACAAAACCTGAACGAGAAGCAAGATGATGACATAGACGCTATAAGAGGAGAAGAAGTGGAGACCGAGCTTACCATGCTAACCATTCCCATGCCTCCACTCGCAAGACAAAGGACTCGAAGCCTACGTTCAAAGATCAATGCATATGTTGAAGAATGGTTGATCAAAACATCCGACAAGGGGCTATACAATGCAAAAGACAGGATAGTGGCAACAAGCACAAAACATCGCATTGGAGTTTGTGTTGTCCAACACTTAAGATTTCGTGGACTAACACCTGGGCTACTAAGGAGATATTTGAAGATTGTATTTTCAATAAATGGGCTGAAGATCCAAGCCCAAAGAGCCCAAACATATTCTATACAAGTCCAAGAAGATACCAACCCATTGGAGAGGATATGGTGTCACCTTTGAAGCAAATTTCGGCCAAACCTTTATCAAGCACGAATTGGGGAAGCTTTCTACATTATTTTAACCTAATGAAGACCTTCTTTAAGCCTCCTAGCCGTTGCAAGACGTTGGGCTTCCACTTCCAACAACTTTCCAATTTTTCCTTACTTTATGGTGTTTATTTCCACTACCTTTCTTTAGTGTTTTGTTTGTGTTTATTTTAATCAAAACTCTTTGAGAAAATCAAAATAAAGAAGTAAGAATGTCGGGAGAAGGAGAGACTAGCCATGTCGCGTTAGCACAAATCCTACAAGACATACAAGAGCTACAGTTCGTACAAGCTTTTCCTTTTTTTACCGGCAAAGGTAAAGGCCAAAGCTTTCCATTTTTTTGGCTGTAAAACTTTCCATATTTTTTACCGGCAGAGGTAAAGGCTAAAGCTTTCCTTTTTTTTTTTTATTTATTATCGGCAGAGTTAAAAGGCCAAATCTTTCCTTTTTTTTTTTTTTTTAAGTTGAAAGTTTCCATTTTTTCCCTTTTATTTCTATCCATCCCAGCTTCGGAAATGTTAAATTTTCAATTTCTTATCTTTTTTTTTTCCTTTTGAGAATGGGATTTTTTTTTCAAGATCACTTACTGCCTTTATGTTAATTTTCGAAAAAATCTTATTAATATATATTTATATGTATTCCATTTTTCGGATTACTTTTGAGAAAGAAATAAACTATTTTCCTAAAACTTTTGGGTCGTCGAAGAGAGAGAGACCAAGAGAACCGACGCATAATGAAAAGGCAAAGATCGACCGTTAAAATAAAAATAATTTCAAAATATGAAATAGCGAATAGTACTCTTTACACCTAAAAGTGAAATAAAGTAGCAGATGCAATTTTGTATATAAAAGAACATTCTCTGTAGTAGCCAAAGCGTGCTCTTCGCAATCCGCTATGAAGGCCGTTGTATCTGTAAAGACAATATTATAAAATAAAAAATACATATATTTAGACATGCAATACAGAAAACATATTCATATATGATATCAGAGCGATCTATATTCCAAATTTTATTTAGAAAGATTGGACTCATTACAGAACAACATCCATCTACAGGGGGCATATATATTAATATATATAAGAACCGTATTTGTGAATACGTATACTTTTAGACATAGGGTTTCAGCTACTGCCAACTCCATCTATTTTGATGTACATTAATGCAACACAGAACGTATTCCTATATGGTGTCAAACCCATCTTTGTTTCAAATTTTATGCAGCAAAATTGGACTCATAGTAGACGATGCGAGGGGAATATATAATTGTAATTTTGTATATACCTATATCTAGACATCGGGTTTCATCTATTGCAACTCTATATATCCCAAGTACAAGATTGGTTTAATGCAATATTCAAACCCTTTTCCTTTAGTATCGTGTGTGTATGTCTGGTATATATATATATATATAGAGAGAGAGAGAGGTGACAGACCTCTAATGGCGCGGCGGAATCTGGTTTTATACGGTTGAGTCGAACCGTCCCAAGTATGTACTCCGGCAACTCTGATTCTTCCTTTCCCTGCATTTTTATGCTTCTTTAGCTTAGAATCTGACTCTTAAGAAACACAATGAATTATATTATATGCATTCACCATACAAATGAATAGGTGCTGGCAAATATGACTGATCGAATGTGGTCAAGAATGCGAAATTACAAACCTCGATCAAGATGGCAAGATCGACAATCAAGCTCGTAACGTATCCGAGGACCAAACCGATAACACCTCTGGCAACAGATGATGATCCGATATCCACATCAATCTGCACCAAGAGAATTTATCAGAACTTCAATGAATTACTTAGAGATCCAATACTCTATATATATATATATATATATATATATATATATAATCGAAATGAAACCAAAATAGTCACTTCTTATTCAAATCATGATTCAATTGAGGCAAAAATAAAATGGAAAATTCAGCTTTATCTGTTGGGCATTAAATAAAGTGCATCTATTGCCGATTCACGTGTTTGGTGTGTGTGTGTTTTTTCCTGTGTTTGCTACTGTTTTGTTGACGAAAACTAAAAAAATTGTGGAAAATATTCGTCAAAGGACTTTATCTGACTTATGTATAGTAACGTTTTTTATGGGTTGGAATGTGAATATGTACATAAATCCGGATTACTGAGTATGAAATTTCTGTTATATTATTTATAACCATTTGTTCACCAAATTATTGCTAATCTTCGTAGCTTTCAGATATATATAAGGTGTTAGAACTACGATGTTCGTAACCAGGGGGCGGACCTACGACAAGAGAAATGGGGACACATACTTCCACTAATCTATATTAAATTTCTTTATAAATTTTATAAAATTTTAAATATATTTACTAAATACCCCCATATCAAATATATAAAATAGGTTATGTGTAACGTCCGTAACCCGTATACTGCCCACGAATTGCGACACATGAACGATCAAACTGTATATCAAAATAGCGGGAATTCAAAAACATTTTTATATTATACATACGCAGCGGAAATATGTTTATACATAGCAAACCCATATACAGTAGACGTATACACACCATAACATAGTCGATATACACTGTAAGCGACAAACATACAGTACACGCCTAGAGAGAAAAGCGTACATGATCCAGAGAAAACATCTCACTCATCACCAGTACCCTCGTCCTGCTGCTGCCAAAGCTGCTCCGAACCTGAAATATTGCATAACAACGTCCATAAGCTATATGCTTAGTGAGTACTTCGGGTAAAACCCAAAGATCATACTCAAATTGCAAATGACCAAGCACAAGCAATATTATACACGTACATATCTATGTATATATGCTCAGTAATCATGTCATAATTTCTAACGTCGACCACGATAACACATGCAACAATCACACACAGTCCGGATGACAAGTCATCGGACAACAACTGTCAAATCGTCTCTATGTGCATCACACACATAGGATAGTAAACAGATCTGGTAACACCAGTCCAGGACACATATACAAGTCATAGCTCGATCCATCGGGTCTATCAGTAACACCGGTACTGTCAAATCATCTCTACGGGTGCATCACACGCGTAGGTAAGGACTCCCCATGTGTAAATGCACAATCCCCTCTCTCTCCTCGGCCGAAGCCGGAATAGTAAAAACACATCAACCCAATGCCCAACTCTTCATAAAAACGTATCACATCAACTATCCCCTCTGATATCGATGTCACCTCTCGATACCAGAGCGCCAGGTGTCTCTTCCAGGCCACCACGACTATGTCGAGTGAAGTCAGTCAACAACTGACAACCTCTCGCCGACCATCCACCATAGTAAAGCTCATCAGACCCGAGCTCAGGTCTTTCAAAGTATTTTCGCATAACCTCGTCGGGAGAATCTCTCAATCCCGAGCCACGAGTAAATTTATGCCAGTCTCTGTCGGGAATCACTCCCGAACCCGTTCCATAGCAAGTGGAACATCGGTGCGGTCACAGAGTAACCGTAAAGTTTCCTCAACCCGTAATAGCCGAATCACTCAAGACTATCACGTGCATCATTGGCTCCAAGCTCTACCCGTATGCAATCAATCACAATCATGTCTCCTCAATACGAAACCCAACCCGGGTCGAAGATCATAAAGAGGAGATCTCATACAATACAATCATCGGGATATCACCTCAACCAAGACTACAAACACACGCTCAACTTTATTCTGGCCCTCCGGGGTAAAGTCTCACGCCATGCCAACTACCCGGTTCCCTAATCACAAGCATTCATACGAGATTACATTTTAGTCATGAATACACACGTCTTTACTTGTTATTCTGGTATATCGATTCCATTATGTTCATTTCATTATTGTATCTTCCGATCCGATCAAATTGGGTTCCGACCATTTCGGATTACCAATTTAACTCGTTCCGAAAGTTTTACTTACCATAGAATGGTTTCGTTCAAGTTTCGTAAGGTTCGGGTAGGAAACAGGTCAAGGTAGGTCAGTATGGGGGTCGGTTGCATCGAATTTCGCTTGATCCGACGATACGGGCCAAAACGGGGTAACAGGGACCTGGAACGGACAGTCCGCCCAGTCTGGAATGGACGGTCCGCAACGTCCGGTCCCTTCGATCTGGAAGAACCTAGAACGGACGGTCCAGACTTCGTCTTCTTCCCCGCGACCCTGCAAACCCTAGAACGGACGGTCCAGGCCTGGACCGATCGGTCTAGGCGAACCAAGAACTTCGGGTTACGATTTTTCGCACCAAACTACACTATCTATAGCTCAAAACAATCTAGAGATCATGGGAAACTCAAATCTAAAGCCAATTTCATACAATTCACACTCAAGACACGCAAATCTCCATTTTCAATTTGATTATCATTTTCGGACTTAACCCAAAACATTCACCTAGCTTAAATTCGAGCTTGGGGCTTTGTTGGAGAGGTTTCTTAGAGTTGATTGTTAGGTTTATTGATTGATTTCGACCAAAATCATAACTCCAATCGGAGATTGAAGTTTTGAAGTTTTGAGAGAGTTTGCGAGAAAGAGTGAGAGAGTGAAGTGAGAGGGAAATGACAGAAGAATGGCGGACTTAGGCGAAATCTTGCATCCCAGAGAAAGCAGGAGGTGGCCAAAGGGAGGGAAGGCGGTTGCATGGCGAAGCAGAAGGTGGCGGCCGCGGAGAGGACGAAGAAATCGCAGTGCTTCAGTCCCGTCACGCCAGACCCGATGGTTTGGCTATGCAGACTGGACGGTCTACGTGGTCCAGACCCGACGGTCCGCACTGCGCAGACTCGACAGTCTGCTTCCCAGACTGGACAGTCTGGCTCCTTTTCCGCCTGTTTTCTCGCTCGGTTCGGTCCAATCCTTCGGTTTAACTTGAGATAGGCTTAGGTCAATGTTTTAGGGTCATTTTTAGGCTTATATAAAGTCTCCTAAAGCTCGGTACGGGTAACGAATTCACGGGTTATCACATTCTACCCCCTTAAAATGAATTCGTCCCGAATTCTAATAAGAGAGATGAGAGAAGATACGTACCGAAACGATATGGATAATGATCCCGTATCTCCTGCTCTGGCTCCCATGTCATGTCCAAGAATCTTGGCTCCGCCAGACGACTTTGACCAAAGGAATCTCCTTGTTCCGCAATTCCTTGATCTTTCGGTCGACAATCTGAAGTGGTTGATCGCGAATTCTGGCATCACTGGTAAGCTCAATCTCCTGTGGTCGCAGCACATGCGAAGGATCCGCGATGTACTTCCGCAACATAGATATGTGAAATACATCGTGAATATGGTCGAGCTCTGTAGGTAACTCTAATCGATATGCTACGGCTCCGACCTTCGCAATAATAGGATAAGGTCCAATGTATCGCGGCTTGAGCTTCCTCGTCTTCCCAAACCGTGTGTGCCCTCTGATCGCCTGCACTCGGAGGAATACAAGATCGCCCACTACTACTGTGAAGTCTCTCCTTCTCTGATCCGCATAAGATTTCTGGTGATCCTATGCGACTTTCAGGTTGACCTTGATCTTGCGGATAACCTCTGTCGTTTCTTCTACAATCTCAGGACCAAATATACGTCGCTCTACGATCTCCGTCCAACACAAGAGCGTCTTACAAGGCCGCCCGTATAAAGCCTCGTAAGGTGGCATGCCGATGCTGGCATGGTAGCTGTTGTTGTATGCAAACTCGCACAATGTCAGGTACCTATCCCAAGGAACTCCGCACTCCAGAATGCACGCTCTCAACATGTCCTCGAGCGTCTGAATGGTTCGCTCCGATTGTCCGTCTGCCTGAAGATGATAAGCAGTGGTCATCCTCAGCTGAGTTCCCATCGCGCTCTGAATAGCGCCCCACAGTCGAGCGATAAACCGAGGATCACAATCTGAAATGATCTCACTCGGAACTCCATGTATTCGGACAATCTCATCTATGTATATATGTGCTAGCTTCTCCACAGTATACTCCTGTCGGATCGGAATGAAGTGTGCGGACTTCTTCAATCGGTCGGCGACCACCTAAATAGCATTCTTCTTAGCCGGGGTCGTCGGTAATCCTATCATGAAATCTATCGCAATCGAGTCCCACTTCCACTCCGGAATCTCTAGAGGTTGTAGCTTTCTGCTGGGCATTTACCGCTCTGCTTTCACCTGCTGGCAGATCAGGCAATGTGCTACGAATTTCGTGACATCTCTCTTGATGCCCGGTCATGTGTACCACTGTCGCAAACCCTGATACATCTTTCTGGCTCTCGGATGTATGGCCAGCCGAGACTGATGAGCCTCTCGCAAGATGTCCTCCTCAACTCATGACATGCCGGTACACAAAGACGATGATGAAACCTCAAAGCATGCTCTTCATCCATCTGATATCTCTTCTCTCCATATTTGCTAATCTCATCGATGATCTTCTGTAGATCCGGATCATGACTCTGTTCTGCTATCACCCGTCTCCTCAAACTCAAATCATGATTCTCCTCAATCTCCATATATCCTAACATGGCTGATAACACAACTATATTCTCCTGCGAAGATGAGATACCTGAATAGCCGATAGAATCTTCTTCCGGCTCAAGGCCGACTACGTTCGCCTTGCCCGGATGATATGCAATCTCCAAATCGTAATCAACTATCAACTCAATCCATCTACGATGTCAAAGGTTCAGATCCTTCTGCGATATCACATAGGTTAAGCTCTTATGATCATTGTTGAGCTTAACATTCTCCCCATATAGGTAGGATCTCCAAATCTTCAATGCATGTACCACCGTTGCCAACTCTAAATCATGCGTCGGGTAATTCTCCTCATGTTTCCTCAGCTGTCGGGATGCGTA